TGTAAACTTGGAAATTATAATAACAAAGATATAAAATACAGTAACTTTCTCGGGGCATTTCTGCTGTACGAGCACAAAGTTCTCTTAAGGATAGTATCCGAACAACCTACTCGCCGAACTTAATTCCTAAAAGCTCCCTCTCCATAAGAGTTGTGCTTTAAATGAACCGAACCGGACCGGCGGACCGAGCTTGGGTTGTTCGAGCTCGTGTTCGTTTATGTTCGAACAATGTTCGTGTTCGTTCGTTTAATTTTCGAGCTAAAAATTGTATTCGAGCTCGTTCGTTTAATTGTTCGTCAAAGTTTGAGTTTGTTCGTGTTAGAATAATTTAATACATAAATTTTAAATATGTTTGATTAACTTGAAATTTTTTGAACTCGTTCGAACTCGAAAATAAAAAAATAAAATAAAAATATTTTTATATTTTAGATTTTTTATTAAAAAATTATGTAAATATATAAAAAATAAAATATAATTATATTAAATTACTTCGAACATTATCGAACGTTCGCGAACGAGCTCTCGTTCGTTCGATTATTAAAGGAGCCTAATTTTCTGTTCAAACTCCGCTCGATTAACAAGCGACGAGCTTTTGTCGAACATGAACGAGCTCGAATGAGCTTTTGTTCGCGAATGTTCGGTTCGTTTACAGCTCTACATAATAGTAGTATTGACTTGAATGATAAACTAACCCAAATGGGTGTCCAGTGAATTAAACTTGTAAGTCTTAATTAGATGCTTACATAGTTAATTAAAATGAATTAATGTTGTCTTGTCCTGTGAATTCCATTCGATAATGCATAATGTACATTTAGCTGTCTTTTGTTGGTTGAATCCCATAACAGACGTATGATGATAAAAGAGTTCACTTCAATTATTGTTAAGCTATTATTATTTTGATCTGAAGGTATTTGGTGAGGTTGCTGAAGGGATCGAAACCCTTACTAGAATAAACGAAGCCTATGTGGATGAAAAGAGCAGACCCTATAAAAATATCAGGTTGGATTTTTCTTATTGCATCTTATTACACTTGTTCCATTAATATAGTTTTGAGTTCTTTACCTTTCCAAAAATTAAATATGTTTCAACTATGCAGAATAAAACACACATATATATTGGATGATCCCTTTGATGACCCTCCACAACTAGCTGATTTGATCCCTGATGCTTCACCAGAAGGAAAACCAAAAGATGAAGTAAGGAGTTGCTCTTGTCTTTTTTATTGTAAATTTGTCTCATGCAACCGGTGGCTCACTTTTCTGTTTTTAGATGAAAAAATTGGTGGAAGTTCTGATGTAACATGAAAAAGTTGGTGGAAGTTCTAATATAACTTTTATTCCTCATCTAGAGTAGAGATTCTTAAAAGTTATTGTTGCCTCAATTTATTGCACAACTACCAGGGTCAAATGTTAATGTTATTGTTCGCAGTTCAACTCATTTTTGTATTAAATACTTTCAGCTATTTCTAGCTTCAATTGGCATTCACTCATTGGCTCTATATATCTCATAAATAGGTTGATGATGATGTGAGACTAGAGGACGACTGGATCCCTATGGATGAGCAACTTAATCCACATGAGTTGGAGGAGGTGTTGCGTGCAAAGGATGCTCATTCTCGTGCAGTAGTGCTGGAAACTGTAAGGATTCTATCTACCATCAATACATGTGACATTCCGCAGAGAACAGATACATATTTTATGGCCTGATCGGTGAAAATGAATTCACCGTTTATTCTTATGCCACAGATAGGAGACATTCCTGATGCTGAGATAAAACCTCCTGATAATGTGCTTTTCGTGTGTAAATTGAACCCTGTAACTGAAGTAAGTGAATGCCCATAGTCATGTTGTATTTACATGGATCAGGATTTCGTTGATACCTGGTCCTGAACTTCCACTAAGATGGACCTGATTTGGTTTGGCATTATTTGATGTAGGATGAGGACTTGCATACAATCTTTTCTCGTTTTGGAGTTGTAACATCGTAAGTCTATCAAGTGCTTGGCCTGTTTAAGTCTTCTTCCTTCATAATATTTTTAATATCTCCACGTTTTTTCATTGTTTGATTACCATTAACAGAGCTGAAGTTATCCGGGATCATAAAACTGGGGACAGTTTGTGCTACGCCTTCATAGGTATGATTGTTCTTATGGAGTTGCTTTTAAAACCCTGATACAGTTCATGTCTTCAGCTTGATTATATACTAATACAACACCCGTGTATTACACGGTTGCTTGCTAATTTTTTTTTTGTAAAATTTAATATTAATTAGAAAAAGTGGCTGTAAATTTAAATCTTTTTTTAAGAAAAATATTTTATTATATATTTTAGTATGACACTTGTTACTTGTGCGACTTGGTTGTGTTTTATTATAATATTTTTTCTAACTTATAACACATAAATACATTAAACATAAACATATTAATTCAGAAATAATTTTATTTTTCTAATTAGTTTTAATAAATAATTTTATTATTATTATTATCATGATAAATATAATATATTTATTTTATATATATAATATGGATGTCAAATCGAAGCTTATCAAAAGATGATTAATTTGATATATTATATATGTAAAATCGATAAGAAATACAAAAATTATCAACTTTTAAAATACATTTACAATAAGAAATGATATTGAAATACAATTAATACATCTAAAATGATCATAAATAAATCAACATGTTTATGGTAATCCGAACCTAATTATTTTTGGATTGGATTTAAATTAAAATTTATCCAAATCTAATTACGAAGCATGATTACTTGCCAAGTAGGATTCCGAAGCACTAGAAACACCACGTAGCTCAGCGCATTCGGTAGTTATATATAGGGGGATTTAAACTCCATCTTCTTTTATTAACTTATGTAGTTTGGGTTCTTTATTTTATGAACTATTTTTACTCCTTGTTTGTGTAAAGAGTATTGCTTAAAAGAATTTTTTGTGCTTGCACAGCATAAGTATGTCCTGTAGTATTCCAGCAATAATGGCTTGAAATAAACTATTGATTTTATTTAATATATGCAATATTGGTAATTGGTTAGCCGTGTTCCATGTCATTCCAAAATCTGGTTATTTTTTGAGTGAACAGCATAAACTAATGATCTACTTCCTACTGTGGGAGTCTATACAGGAAGCATTTATGCTTAACATGCTGTGAATTTGATTTATTTTTTTTTTATTTTTTTTTTTGTTCTACGAAATTTTCAATTGGGACTGCGTATAAAAATTATGATTTGTCTAGTTGTAGTTTCACTTTGTCTCTGGAGAAAGTTCAACTGTTTAAATTTCCTGGTCACTTTTTCTTTTGGCGAACCAGAAGGCCTGGCATGTGTTAAAGCATAACTAGAAATTGAATACCCCTCAGAAAATTTGATAGTTTTTGGTGAGCTTTTTTCCTAGATGTGTCTTTATTTGTAGAAACCTGTGCTCTATCATTGCCATACTCATATTTTGTCTAATTTTGTGGCAGAATTTGAGGACAAAGACGCCTGTGAACAAGCATATTTTAAGGTATTATCAAATAACTCTAGAATTTTGTCCCGTGAGTTCTCCACCTAAACATATAGATAATGTTCTCCTCGTTCAGTTGCAATTTGTTTCTCGTTGTATTGCATGTAAGTTGTGCTGAATTTATATTTTAAGTGAGTCGGGATCGTGTCAGTAGTAAATGCATCTATTATATATTAAGTTGTATGATGCTGTTTGTTACTGTATTTAACTTGAAATAATATCAAGCTATAGTTTAGGCTGCAGCGGATATAAGAATCTTTCAAAATAGTATGTCTAAACAACTTTTTTCTTTTATCTCATTTTCTGGGCAAGGTAATTATTTTTTCTGTGAACACTATGCATTGACTTTTCAGTGAATTTGTTAGGTAATTGTAGAAAATATTAGGTCAATTGCTCATACTTGTGTTTTATTCCATTGCAGGTATATTTTAGCTGCATATGATCATTAGCATGTTGCTAAAACGAGTATCAATTAATAAGCTGTTAAAAGGAATGCTGAACTTTTTAGCTCAGAAATGCCCGTACCATTTCTACTCATGAAGTAAATTTTTTGTTTCCGTATTATGTTAGCTTGAAATCTTACTGTTTTGTTGTAATAAATATTCAGTAATTTGAGATTTAATGAATTAGCTAGCTGACAACCTATAGTTCGTTCGGAGGGAATGCATGTTCTATTATTATACTGTCATTTTTAGCCAAAAGATTATCTGCCATAGCCTTGTGTGGTAATCAGCTTTGTCACGTGCCTAAAAATTCTCCCATCAACTCCATTCAGGACTCTACAATCTGTATAAATTGTGTTGGCTGTCTAAATTACAGATGGATAATGCTCTAATTGATGACCGGAGGATTCACGTTGATTTTAGTCAGAGTGTTGCAAAATTATGGTCCCAGTACAGACGCAAAGGTCAAGGTACGCTCTTCGGAATCTTGCTCTCTTAATTGTTTAGAAATGCTTTTTTTTTAACCTTTTTTTACCTTTTTTTCATAAATTTATATTTTATGGTTTGGTATCAAACAGTTCGACATGAGTTTCCTCATGTTATCTTTTGGGGGTGCACAATTGAATTAGCATCACCTCTACTATTTGTTTCCAGCAAAATTTAAAATCTGATACAGTATATTGTACTTTATATTTTTGCAGGAGGAGGTTGCTACAAATGTGGTTCTGTCGACCACATGGCCAAGGACTGCACGGGAGATTCTACCTCTAAGCACTCACAGTCCAAATACACGCTAAAAGACGATAACATTCAACGTGGTGGAGATAAAAGGACGAGGTAGTAATGTATTTTGTAATACTGGAAATTTCCCTTCCAAAAAAAAAAAAAGAAAAAATCATATTTATGCCCTAAAACATTTCCTCACATTTTATCTTTCAGGTACGAAATGGTTTTCGAGGAAGATAATGGCAGAGAGCCTAGACATAGCAAGAGTGGCAGAGACCACAAACCGGAACATGAGGAAAAACGAGACAGGCATGATGCCTATACCCATAAAGGGCGAGATGAAAAAAGATGGGGCCCACATGACCAGCCGAGACGCAATGGAAGCAGTCACAAGCAAAATGAAGAGTATGTATGGCGTAAAAGAAGCCCAGAAATAAATAGATCGGGTGAAAGAAGAAAATCAAGTGCCCGTGATAATAGAGATGAAAGAGAGCAGAGAAGAGGACACGAGAAAGGGTACATAAGGAGCCATGGCGATGAGAGAGATTACGGAAAAGTGTTTATCGATGGTAGCGGCCGTGGGGAAAGGAAAAAGGAATATGAGAGTAGAAAAAAAAGTGAGGATGAATATGCTCGTGGGAGTAAGAGAGATAGGCGTGGTGTTGAGGATGATAGTTACGGTCATAGGATACCGGATGGAGAGCGGCATTCGGATAAACGGAGTTCAAAAAGGTGACATGACGATTTTCATGATCGTGTGGTTCGAAGGGCGGTCAGTTGGAGATTTGATCTATGCCAATGTGGCATTTTGAAGTTTGGAAAAGAAATGCTAAATTTGATTTTGATCCAATATCTGTAGTTGTGATTGTGAGTTCTGTACGTGGCACTTCTCTTTTGTTTGCTGAAACAAAATGATGGTACTTTCCTACTTAGTTTTCCTTTCTTTTATCATTTGACCAAAGATTGAACAGTAGACATACGATCTACATTGATGAATAGATATATAATTACATTGATGAATAGATATATAATTTTTAATTGTTTCGTCATTGATATTTATTCAGCTTGGCATGTCCTATATTTTTAAGTATAAAATTGTATATCTCAGGTTCTTCTATATTTTGCTGTCTTTTTATGATCCCGATCAGAGGGAGTTTGCCGAACAAAAGGTTATACTACATGCTATGTTCTGAAGAATTGGTCTCGATACGAATGACCTTTTTTAGAATAATTGGATTTGGCTTGGTTTGGGAGCAACAGTTTGTGGCAGAAAGCGTAGCGATATGTAATGGGTATTGTCATTCCTTTTTTTTGTCAGGGTTGCGAGTTTTCCGGCTGGTTACGGGCTTGCCAAATGGTTTCTGCCTCCTTCCCCGACCTGTTCGCGCTTCCCGGCTAGGGGATCACGCTATGCCACTCGTTGGGGCCTTGAGGATAAGGCCCTCACTGCCGCTAACCTGATTGCTTTCTATTCACAGTTGTTCTCATTCGCGGAAGGGTTTGTACTTGTAACAACCCACGAATGAAAGTCTCGATTAAGAATTTGTTACTTTTAGTTGACTGATGAGCAATTTTTCGTTGATGAATGATGAGTACTGTGTTAGGAAACCTGTGGATGGATGATGAAAATAGTGTATCGAATACTCGGATTGTGAAAACCCGGACTAGATGGCTATCGGTAAACACACGAAATTGAGTGAGTTTTTGAGTTTGTATATAAATAATATTTAAAATTTATTAATTAAAATTGATTTGATGTAAAATAAAAAAAAATATGATTCGAAGTGATGTGTAAAAGATTATGGTAATTGATTAATTAAAAGTTGATTTAACGTGTTAGGAGGATTGATTTGTATAATTTAATTATATTAATAATATAAAATATAATGAAGTCGCGTCAAACTCGAGTAATATTTTTAGTTAAAGTGAATACGAAAATTAATGATCGGTGAAAACATGTTTTGAACCATTAAGGAGCAATTGGATATAGTTTCTACAGTAAAAAAAACCAATCAAAACTCAAATTTAACTCAGCTTTAACCCAACTCTACTATCTCCAATATTATCAATATAAGTAAATAATATCAACCAATTATTTTCACACATCACATTAATTTTAATTCATTATTCATCCACTCACATAATTTTAATTAACCATCACTTTCAATCATTTTTCTCACATTTTACATCAAATTAAATTTAATCATGTTATTTTAAATATTATTTTAATATATCTACTAACAACTAACCATATCGCATTTTTTTCAAAGTTAACTATAATTAAAAAACAAACTAAATAAAAACTAGTTGAATTCATAATTGTTCACGCCCTTACTACTAATCGCTGGTAGTGTTTTGAAATAGCTAGTGGTCTTAGGCCCATTTCCGTCCTATGAAGTTCTGATTTTCAAACGCCCAAAACACTATTCCGTGCCGGCTCATCCGCTCTCACTCACTGAGCCTAGCTAGGGTTTATAGAAAGCATTTGAAGTCCCTTCTCTGGGCACTGCTTCAATGGCGAAAACTGGTAGCGGTCGCGGTCGCGGTCGCCAGGCGTCTCGGTCTGGCTCTGACTCTCGCTCCTCATCCCGCTCTCGCTCGATTTCATACTCGGGGTCGGGCTCGCGCTCGCGCTCCAGTTCGCTGTCAAGGTCCCCTTCCCATTCTCGCTCCACCTCAAGATCAAGATCTTTGTCATCTTCCTCTCGCACCAGTAGCTCCCGCAGCCCTAGCCCTGCTCCTCGGAGAAAGAGGTGAGCTTTTTTAAGGTTCTACCACATTATATACAAGATACTACCAGGCTAATAAAAAGGGCCTTTTTAGATTTCTTAATTGTTAGATGTATCATTTTAAAGTTTTCTCTGGGGATGGGAAGAACCATTGTCCAAACTCCCAATTTTGGATTTTATCCTCCACTTGCAAATTCAAAGATAGGATTCTAGGAATGTTATATCTAAGCAATAACTACATGATGGTTCTTCCCATTATCCTCCTTTGCAAGTCGTTGGCATTGTTAAATACGTAATGGTAGAAAGATCTTTTCCAATAGTATTCTCCATAAGTTCATTCAAACTTCTAGTGTCTGATTTTCCTGGGTTGCGTGCTATTAACCATCTTTTCTTTTTGTTGAGTTTTGCGTAGCCCTGCTGAAGGAGTTAAACGAGCCCGTTCCCCTCGGCCACAAGCTAAGAGAACCTCCCCTCCTCCAAGGTCTGTTCTCTTTTTTCATTGGGTTGAAAGATGGACCTTTTCCTTTTCTTTTGTCCATTGTTTCAATAAGTAATGTATTTAATCCTGGAGACTAACCAACCTATGTAATTAATCTGCTGTTGTATCTCTTACTACTATTCCTTCTCAATTTTAATGTTCATCTGGGATGCGTTCTTCTTACAAATGAAGCTTTGCTGTATTAAAGTTATGATACATGCGGGTGAAAGATATCTGACCACTGAACCACATCTAAATTTAATCTTCATTAATCTTTGTCCTCCAGTATTGTTCTTTTTCTGTGCATGTACTAACATCATGCACTTGTTATACGTTATATTCTGAGTTTGCGTATTCTATATAGATTTATCGGAGTATTACTATGCCACAATGAACTTGTCTTGTGCCTAACAGTATCATGTAAGGTTAATTGATATCTTCAGTTGGTTGATGTTTTGCTGGTATTTGCATTCTCATGTACGGGATTCCAGTAATTTGGAATAAAAAAAGACCTGTGACTTGAATTAAATTTCCTGTTTTACGGTGTTATTGCTGTAAGTACCCGTTGCTTTACAATCTCCAACATCATTTTTTCTTCTATTTTATATGTACGAAAGTATTCTTTGCATCTACAGTGTTCTTGCCTGTAATGTAAGATTTTTCTCTAGTCTCCCCTTGTTTATTCAATCTTCATTTCTTCTTGCATTGGTTCTACAACTGTAGGAGATCATATATGTAGCGGTATTCTGTTCTTACCTGTGATCTGTCTCCAGGAAAGCTTCTCCTATTCCTGAATCTCTTGTGCTTCACGTTGATCAGCTTAGCAGGAATGTGAATGAGGGCCACTTGAAAGAAATATTTGGTATGTTTTCATTATTAATTGTACATTGTCATGATATAAGCTACTGTCAATAGTCAATACGGTGATATACGTTCACAGTTCAGGCTAACTGTCTATTCATCATGATTTTAAGGCTTTATAATATTGTCTTATCTTGTTACTTTCACAGGTAATTTTGGTGAAGTGGTGAATGTACAACTGGCGATTGACCATGTTGTAAGTTCTGGGCCCCTATATTCATGCTGATCTTAGAAAAATCTGTATAAATAATAATCCTTTAATTTTGATGTCATTTTAATTGCAGGTCAATATTCCTAAAGGATTTGCATACGTGGAGTTCAGAAATAGGGCCGAGGCTGAAAAGGCCCTGCTATACATGGATGGTGTATGATTTTATTCTTACTCATCTGATCCTTTAGTTTTTAGTTTGCCGTTCAATTTCTCTATCCTATGTTTTGTGCAGGCTCAAATTGATGGCAAAGTTGTGCGGGCCAAGTTCACCTTACCTGAAAGGAAGAAGATTCCTTCTCCCTCTAAGGCTGTTGCCACCACATCAAGGAGAGATGGACCAAAAGCTGAAGATGCTGCTGCAGATGGTGAGAAAGATGGGCCAAAGCGACCCAGAGAAGGTGAGATCTCTTCACAGAAGTGCCAACTGAAATGTTTGTTTTTGTCTCTTGCAAGCTTGTTTGTTTAAGCAAAACTATGAATGATGTATAGCATCCCCAAGGAGGAAACCGCCCTCCCCTCCCCGAAGGAGATCTCCCATAGTACGAAGAGGATCTCCCAGGCGGGACCCACCTGGTTCTCCTCCACCTCGCAGGCGTCCGGATTCTCCTCCCCGCCGTAGGCCCGATTCTCCTTACAGACGAGGTGGTTCCCCACCTCCAAGGCGAAGGCCGGGATCACCTGCCAGAGGTCGTTCGCCATCTTCTCCTCCAAGGCGTTTCCGTTCACCCGCAAGGTTGGATTTTCTTATTGTGCTTCAAGATAGCTGTACATGTTCTTTGTTATTGCATTAGCATCATTTTTATGCATCGTATTTTGAGCAGGGGATCTCCAAGAAGGATGCGTGGAAGTCCTGTTCGTCGGAGATCTCCTCCACCAAGACGAAGGTGATAAATTTATCCACCAAGTCCTGTTTCCTCTGTCTATTAGATGCTATTATTGCTGTGCTTACTTTCTTGAATAAAATATTTATTCTCTATAGTATATGTGCTCTTTTGTTTCTTGAATGAGTCAATGAGTTTTGACATAAAAAAAAAAAAAATATATATGACACTAATTAGCTCTCATTTACTTTTGAAGACTCTTTGTCCAAAAAGATCCTCATTTTTCTTGAAAGTTCTTTTGCTTGCAGTCCCTCATTTACCTGTTGTACTATATTTGTTTACTGCATTCTCTTTTGCTGTGGAACATGATACGAGAAAAATTGTACCACCCACCAGTCTATAATTTGTATATTCTCAATTGTCTTATAGAAAAAAGAATGTGGCATCTTTATGTATGTGCAAATATATGGAGGCTGTATTTGAGGGTTTATATATGGAGTTTTGGTTTAAATTTTTGTTTTTGACTTACATTCTTCAGGCAACTTTTCACATAATCCTTTTTATTTTGGTTTGAAAGATCTTATGAGGCATAATATGCCTTTACATGCCGTACTGGTACTAGTTATTTCAAAGATGAGTTAGTTTGAAAGTGCTTTCCATAATTAAATTCTTTTAAAACTGCCCCATGGAGAATATCTATGACTATGAGATGCCATTGCCCCAAACTATATTGAATTTTACACCATTGCTGCTTCCGCGCTTTTAATGTGAATAGACTATTGTTGCGGTTGCTAGTTGTTTCCACTCACAGAACATTTTTAAAGTCTTACTGTTGTGAAGGGTGGTAGTAGCTATCTAAGCATTTTTGTAATGAACTTAGGTCCCCAAGACGTGCTCGAAGTCCTCCACGAAGGTCTCCTATTGGTCGCCGACCACGCAGTCGCTCCCCTGTGAGGAGGCCACCTCGTTCTCCATCACGATCCCCCTCTCCAAGGAGGTGTATTGCCAATAATTGATCGTATTTGTTTTTTTAAGATTGTTTTAAATCTATATATGTTGTGTCTGGGTGATCTATAATAATAATAATTAATAATAATTATTAATTGTTATTATTATAATATCAGTTATTATTATTATTATTATTATTATTATTATTATTATTATTATTATTATTATTATTATTATATAGTATATTTTGCTATAGACTCATGTTATCCTGTGTGCAGAGGCCGGGGCCCACCACCTAGACGTGGTAGACAATCTTATTCTTCATCACCTAGCCCACGCAGGGTCTGTATCTCCTAATAATCCCTTATCGGTATATTCTTTCTGGTTGGGTGTCTTAACACAAGTACTTATGGTGAAATATCCATTGCAGGGCCCTCGCAGGGTATCGAGGAGCCGTAGCCCTAGGAGGTAATTTATATTTTTATTTTACTTTACGTTTCTTATCTTCCTAAGTCCTAACTATATATTTATGTGGAAAGTCCTTTTTTATTGAGCAATTTTCTTTTTTACTTTTATTTGCCATTTTACGTAATTATGGTTTTGTTTCAGGCCTGTCAGAGGTAGAAGTCCAAGCAGGAGCAGAAGCCGAAGCAGCAGCAGCAGCAGCAGCAGCACGAGCAGCTCACCCCCTCCCGCCCGTAAGCCTTAAATCAGTAGACAAGCTAAAAGCCTGAGAGAATACTGTGTCAGTGATGTGTATTAGAATCTATTGCAACCTATATTATGGGATTATCTTTTTTTTTGTAGCGTGCATTTTGTTTCTGATAAAGGGTGCACGTGTGTCGAATTGCTTGCTTGCTTGCTTGCCAAACCTTTGATGCCTTAACTATGTTGTAACGAAAACATTATCCCTTCAAAAACCTGGGAGATTCCAACCTTAGTTTCATCGTGAATATTCTTTGAAGTAGAAGAATTGTTGACATTGGCCAGTTGCCTAGAGGCTTGGCCAAAACTGAGTAAAATATTGTTCAAAATTCTAGTATTAACAAGATTAGCTTTGCAAAAAATTATTGAATCGTCAGTAAAAAAGAGGTAGGTGATGGTTAGGCAAATTTGTCAATTTTAACACACTATTTAAGTTCAAAGAAGTTGCAAAAGAGGCTGTTTGGATACGAAACTTCATCCAAAGGTCGGGTGTGGTCTCGTCTATTGTTGATCCAATATTGATTTATTGTGACAACAATGAGGCTATAGAGCAAGCGATAATGGTGAAGGCGACGTCATTGTGGATCAAGTTGATTCAGCAAAAAATGTAGAAGACCCCCTGACTAAGCTTTTGTTACAAAAAGCGTTTGACGTACATCATGAGAGGATGGGTGATGGGAACTAGGGCAATTGGGCAAGTGGGAAAATGTAGAGTAGAATAGTCGGCATTCCACTCCCACCACCGCCGCCACCACCACCGCCCCACACCAACCGTCGACTTCTCATCCAACGCAACCATCCACAAATCCTCCCGCTTCAAACCCTCCGAGTTGGATCCACTACCAATGTGGCCGCTACCTCTGTTACCTCCACCCCCACCACTTTCGTTACCTCCAGGATGTTGTACAATTTTATTTATGGTTCCATGAGATAGCAAAATAAATAAATTAAAATAATATCAATAAATAAACAAGAGATTTGACTTGTGATAAAGAACCTATCTTTAGAAATCTACCCACTCACCCTAAAAAATAAGATGGACTCGTAATTGTGGGCTAAACTTATCAGTTAACTTTGTATTATATGGCCAACTCTCATATGTTTGTAAATAAATAATTAATTTGGTTAATTTTACAAATAAAAGAAAATGGACTCGTACCATGGATCATTTTCTCAATAGAGTAATGTTCCCCTATTTACGGTGGACACATGTTAATATACCCACCGTTTATGTGTCATGCAACATCGGTGGTGTTGCATGACACATAAACAGTAGACATATTAATATGTGTCCACCGTAAGTTGGAGAACATTAATTACTCTTCTCAATAATAAACCCAAGTATACTGAAAACATTTTGAACTTGGTCAAGCATTTGGGCCATTTATTCAGGCCCATTTACTTGGGCCCATTTACTTCCACACTTGCTAAAATGAAACCCTAATAATGTCTGAACAATCTTCCCCAAACTGCCGATATATACCAATGTCCCTGCTGAGAACCCTAGTCCATACGGCTTAACTCGAGCTCGCCTCCATCTCCACACGCCAAAATGGTGAAGTTTCTGAAGCAAAACAAGGCGGTTATCATTCTCCAGGGGCGGTACGCCGGTAAGAAGGCCACCATTGTGAAGAACTTCGACGATGGTACGCGCGACCGTCCCTACGGCCACTGCCTCGTCGCCGGCATAGCCAAGTATCCGAGCAAGGTGATCCGCAAGGACTCGGCTAAGAAGCAGGCCAAGAAGTCGCGCGTGAAGGCCTTCGTCAAGGTGGTCAACTACAACCACATCATGCCCACGCGCTACACCCTGGACGTGGATCTCAAGGATATCGTCACCGCAGACGCTCTGGTCTCACGCGACAAGAAAGTTACCGCCTGCAAGGAGATCAAGGCGAGGTTCGAGGAGAGGTTCAAGACCGGCAAGAATCGTTGGTTTTTCTCGAAGCTGAGATTCTAAGTGTAAGAAACTATGGAGGTTAAGTTTGTGTTTCGACTTCTGTTCCATTGTTGGCTTTTTTGATTGGAGTTGTTTATGTGTTTTCTGATGATATTCGAATGAACAGGGGTGATTTTGTTATGGACTGCTTGCTACATTTTTACATATTTCTTCTTGTCATTTGAACTTCTTGATCATGAGTAGTTTTGTTCTTGAACGCCTTTTGCTTGTTCTAATGATTGATGTTCTATTTTGTTTACTCTTGTGGAGTTTGGTCATGAATTATATGTACCTATTGTTAGCATTCAATATGCCGAGTCATTTTATTTAGTGTAAAAGTTTCTGTAAGTCGAGTTATGCAATTTGATAGCATACTTGTTATTTATGCAAGAAGAAAGGAAAAGAATGTGGAAGAAATCAAATAGGATGGTAACTAATTTAACATATGCGAGTCGTTTTACATGTTCCAAGAGTTTCTGTAGTTTTGGATAGTTCTCGTTTGTCAAAACTAAAAAACAACTGAGTAGAAAAGCTTTAATTCAATCCGGGCGTATTTTAGATTCACTCGTGGTGGTTCTAGTTAGTTCCTATTGTTTTTTTTAGATAATTCATTTTTAAGTTGGTTTCATGTGCGATATTAAACTTCTGATATCTAAGAATGGCCACAAATCTAATTTGTTTGTCAAATGATTGTTTGAACGAATGTTTGTTCCAATGCATTTACACTTGCACTGCCTGGAAGTATCCTTGGTAGCATGTTGGAATATGTTCTTGTTCTGTGTTAGATCATACTTCTACCCTTTCAAGTGAATGACGGAAAATTTGAAAGCTTGTATGGAATTTGTTCATCCCGTTATTACTTATTAGGGTACTGTTCGCAATGTAATAATGTAGTTATATGGTTTTTTTATAGAGTCATCAGATGGCCCGTCTTATGGTATCATGCACAATTATCCACAAATGGTATATTGACAAGTGTCCTACAATAAATAGACTTCGGAAGTCTATTAAGTTATGGATGACTCCTTTGTTAGCAAAATTTAAATATCCTAAGGTTCTGTCTCTTGCATGCTAATGGGTTATAGTTCATATTACATTCAAATGCCATTTCAGATGGCAATGGCATTTGAACATCCAAGAGACGTGAGGTATTTATAATGCACATTCTAATTGGATATGCTTGCTGAAGTATGCAGTCACCACCTTATGGGTTTTTTTTTTTTTTTTATTATTATTTTAATATATTAATTAAAGTTAAATGATTCCTTGTTCTTGTTGGACCAGTGACCTCTTTCATTCCTCCTTTCTTTAAAATGGAAAATTTTCACCTTTGTGGTATGGCTATGTATCTCCATTGTCCAAAAATGTTCTGTCCATTCACAGCTTAAGTTCAGTTGTGTTGTTGATCGACCTTACTTGAATGGGCATCAATGTTTTCTTCATTAGTAATGTGATTTGTCATCTTGATATAGTTCTTTGCTTTTATTTGGATTTGTGTTTTTGCACAGATTTCTCTTTCTTTTTATATGACTATTCAGAAAACGAATGTACAAAATTATTTAAATGCGAGATACACGATAGAGAAATGATAATAGTTGTGTACTAGTGAAACACTACATAAAATCTCCTGTGTAGAACCTATTGAGTTAAAACATAACCAAAATAACAAATGAATCAATAGCCTCATGTACGCATATATGAGCATGTCCAATCAATCTGAGTTGTATACAAGTCGAAAGGGTCATATTTGTTCTCTTATTAGAAACATACGTCGAGACAGCAGCAGCAACATAGTCCTGCCAGACTGTAACATGGTAAAAATTATATCAAACATTTATGATGCATGCGTAAAATCGTATTGTAGGGGTTTGAGATATTACCATCCTTTGAAAAAACCGTCCCCTTTACTAGTGGTCTCGAGTGGCACATTCTGCATTTGAGTATTTTCCTTTGTGGGATAACCAATGGGTGGTGGTGGCATCACGTACGGACCATTATAGCTATCAGCTGGGGGAGGAGGATAGGATGTTGGGGGTGCCGGATATGCAACTGCATCGAGGCAAATCATAAGAGTTTTAGCCGATACTAATCATCGTTCGGAAAAATTTAGGAAGTCAATATGTTATTGTGGTATAACCACATTGGTTATTGTATGATCAAAACTTACCCGGAGCTTGGTTGTGTTTGCCGGAAATGTTCATGGCTTGTTGGTGAGTGCAAGTGTTTGGAAAATTGGTATAAAGGATGAATGA